TCTGAGTTCGTCAATTTGAAGTGAAGATAGATACGATTCCTAAACCTGAGATGGATCTATTAAAGGAGTATTGGCTCGTACAGCAAAATGCGAATTGAGTTTTTAGGCTAGAAGTTCTAAAGCATCAAGTTCTTTAAAGATGAGAAATATATTCCCAGATAGATTTTCAGATAAGCTTTTTAAAATATTTTCTCTCTAATTAAAACAGTTTATCCGCATAGTAAAGAAAATCATAGTCAGTATGAACAGATATAAAACTAAAATATAATAATAGGATTTCTTTCCTCAGACACATAGCATCTATATCATGTATATAGCATATTACAAGGTTTGCTTTGTCATCATCAATTTTGTTGCTAAGATACCTAATTCGAAACAAGAAATCTACAAAATATTGATATATTATTATAGAGCTCAAGGTCACATATACAAAGTATCCTGCAGTTGGGCAATCCTTTACATTGGCTTTGTAGTTCGCTCAATTTATGTTCTTTTGGCTTGCGTTTTCGCACCTTGGTGAAAAAGTGCAGTAAACTGGCATAAAATATTTGCGCACTTGGTACGTGTCTCTCGCATCAGCATCATCATCATCATCATCATCATCATTATCATTATCGTACCATCAGCATGATTAAAAAACTTTGGCATCAGCTGAAAAATCTGCATTGATCGAGTGGTTGGGGTTGGCTTGGTTCAACGGCCTTTGTCTCTGGCCTGCGGCAATGAGCCGACAAAATAATTGATCCCCAATGTCTCATTTAGCCGCCACACACAGCACACACACATACACAAACACACTTGCTGCTCCGGCACTTGCGCGAAATCAAATTGAAGTCCATAACAAGCGACTGACCGCCTCATAAAGCAATTAAGTGCATGTGGCTGACCAAGCAGCAACGTGTTGGAATACACCCAACAACAACAGCAACAACAACAGCAACAACAACAAATATTGTTAGCCAAGCGAGCCGACCCTCTCACTGCCTCCATTTGAGGCCAGCTCCCGCATGGGGGGTTTGTGTGTGGCGCTCAGCTTGGCTTAGTGCGAAGCTCAAGTAATTCATAGTATTAATTATATTATACGACCCACAGCTGGACCGTAGACAGAGTGTGGCAACAACAACAGCAGCAGCAGTAGCAGGAGCAGCAGCAGCGGCAGCAGGAGCAGCGGTAGCAGCAGCAGCAACAGCTACTGCGAAAAGTCCAGCCATTTAGTTCCTTGGCGTCTCCTGCCCAATTGGCCATATAAATTACGTTTGCTCACATTTCGCCAAGCCAGAAAACCAGTTTGTATGCCCCAAAGCCCAAACTATGTAAATAGCTGGGATATATGTAGTAAAATATCCCATGCTAAAAATTCTATTAAAGTTGTTGGAGGTGTAAGCTTATAATTTTAATATTTATAATATTTACCTAAACTTACTTTTATGGTTTTAATGAAGTCATTACTTTCGTCTTTTCGTATATAAAATACAAGTAATTCTCTCGGAATATAGTTAAATTAATTTCCAGTTTGTTTTTTTTTTTTTTTTTTTTTGTTGATAATTTCCCCCTAAGTTAGCTAGCTCTCCTCACAATTTTAGTTCTTATGAAATAAAGTAAATATCCCCGACCATGATGTGTGTGTGTTTGTGAGAATGTAAGGTCCGTCTGCATTGACTTCTGTGTGAGTAATTGCTCACTTACTGGCTCTCCCTGTGCGAATACCAATCGTATCCGCTCCTCCCTAAACGATGTTCGCTAAAAGAGCGTGACACGAGCAGCTCAATATGAACTGAAATAAAGGAACGAAAAGAACCGAAGAGTTCTTGCTCAGAGCGAGAACGAACGATTATTATTTTGTTCTTTTGATCTCGCGAGTAAAGAAATAACAGAATGGTCCAGCTTTAGTAATAACAGTAATTGCCAGAATATTCGTATTCTCCTTCAAGTTTGTACTCTCTTATTCAGAGTCAAATATGTAGATAAATGATGAAGGCTATGTGGATTAAACTCGTTGAATTACAGCTACTTTATGTATTTTGTTTAAAGTTACTAAAAATTACTATGAATTAGTTAACATTGCAGCTGATATGTATATAGTATATATGCTAATCCCTCTTTAATAACAAAATATTTTATTGTTAAAAAATCAAAGAAAAAATATTTCTAATTATTTTAAATACAACAATTGAGCCATTGATTTATGCGGCCAAACAAAGTAAACAAAAGTGCATAAATAATAATTAATAAACGAATTTGAGCAAATGTTGGCAAATACAATCAGCAATTGTTGTTATTGTTGTTGTTGCTGTAATTGTTATTGTAGTGTGACAATGCGCAGATAAAAGTAATTAACGCCTATTCGGGGAATTGGCCATATTGAATGAGGCAGGGGCCGGGGCAGAGGCTCAGGCCCATAATAGCTGCAACAAAACGTGGCAACAACAACAACTACAACAACACACCATGCCATGGCAATAATTATTGACTTATTGGCCATAATGGCATTTAAGAGTCCGATGGCACCGAAAAATATTTGCATAAAATTTGCATTGACAACAGTTGAAAGCAATTGAAACAATAATTTCGTCATTAATGTGCGACAATCCCAGCCGGCCAGCTGGTCAGCCGGCCAGCCGTGCGCCACAAATCCCAGCAACCGGCCACGCCCCCTCCCCACTCAGGCCACCAACAACAGCAGCAGTAGCTGGCGTCCACCTGCGAATGTGAATTGAAAACGTGCTTATCGCCGCGCATCAGCAGGGTGGCCTGAGCCTGAACCTGAACCCGAGCCCGGACCTGGACCTGGACCTGAACTCGAACCACGAGCAGAGCAGCCAGAACCAGGACTGCAGTGTGGATACCGCCTGGCCGAGCTGCATTTGAACGCCATTTCTCGCACATTGCAATTGTTTAATGCGTTTAATTACATTTGTTGGCTGGCACTTAATGTTTTTATAATTAATAGAATCAATATTGATATTGGACCCGGGTCTGTCGACCCCAAATTCGAGCTCAATCCCAATCCCAATCCCATCCATCCACCGCTGCTGCCAGAGGACCAAACAGTTGCGGTTAATTGTAGATTAAAAATGTAGCAATGCGGTTGCATTCATGCAGTGCGGTCATGCAGGCGTTAATTTTCTGGTCAAACTATAGATTCCAATGAATATAGTATATACATATAAAAAAGTAATGAAAAAGGATCAAGTTAATGTTAAAATACAAGCTGTACAGTGAAACGCCAATAAGTGGAATTGAGACTAATATTGATATTAACTAAATTATAAATAGGAATACATGCATAGTATCACTCCTACTCTATGGTTTCATCTCCATCTCTCTCTCTCTCTCTCATTCTTTCTATCTATACTTCCTGTAGGTTTTTTTCTATATCTTATTTCTCCCTTTTATTTATTTTATATACCATATTACAAACATTACTATTTTCCTACATACTTATATTGGTTTTCATATTCAAGTCGAACTATAGCTGAATTCAAATACAATAAGAAAAAATGTTGCTATTTAATATGGAACTGATTAAAATGCACATTTTTATTTGCTTTTAAATTGTTTACCTGTAAATGCTTTTTATTTGGTTTTTTTATTTGTCTTTGCGCGACGCATTTAATTACAATTTGAAGAAAAAACCAGAGCACACATGTGGCTAGAGAGAGAGAGAAAGAAGGGGGGGAGGGTAGAGCGAAAGAGTGAGAGAGGCAGGAGGGTAGAGACAGAGGTAGCAAAGCGCAAGCATGCATGCAAAATGCAGACTGACTAAACCCTAGCCCTTCTCCCCTGTCCACCAGCCCCCGCCGAGTGGAGTCAAGTAAAGCCCGGCTAGAAGCAATGAAAAAAAAAACAAGAAATAAGAAAAAACAAAAAGTGAGTAGCGCTTTAAAATGCAAGCAGCGTAAAAGATTAGCCCGATTATTTCAGCTTGAAGGCGTTTAACTTCGCATTTGCAACAGCAACAGCAACAGCAGCGAAGGCAGCAGCAACAACTTGCACACGCAGCGAGTTCAAAGGGTTCACAAGGGGTTCAGCACGGCACCATCCCCAAGCCCCGCTCCCTCAACCCTCCACTCAGGCCGCCTTTTTTGATGTAGCTCAGCTTTGTGGGCGCAATTGGCCGGGGTTTTGGTTTCACGCTTTTCGCTACACGTAAAATGTTGAAAATGCAAACTTAATGCAGCGATTTGAAATTTACACATCGTTATATGAATATGAAATGATATATACAGAAAGTATACCCTATAAACAAGGGCTGTGTGCGAGGGTGACTGTTGTTGCTGATGCTGCTGCTGCTGCTGCTGCTGCTGTTGCTACTGCTGCTGCTGTTGTTGCTCTTGCTACTGGTGCTACTGCTGCTACTATTGCTGTTGCTGCTGCTGCTGCTATTGTTGCTGCTATTGCTGCTGCTGTTGCTGCTGCTGTTGCTGTTGCTGTTGCTACTGCAGATATTACTGCTGCTACTATTGCTACTGTTGTTGCTGTTGCTACTGCTACTACTATTTCTGCTGCTATTGCTGCTGCTGTTGCTGCTAATATTGCTGCTGCTGTTGCTGTTGCTACTGCAGATATTACTGCTGCTACTATTGCTGCTGTTGTTGCTGTTGCTACTGCTGCTACTGCTACTACTATTGCTGCTGCTGTTGCTGCTACTATTTCTGTTGCTATTGCTGCTGTTATTGCTGCTGCTGCTACTGCTATTGTTGCTACTATTGCTGCTGCTGTTGCTGTTGTTACTGCAGATATTACTGCTGCTACTATTGCTGCTGTTGTTGCTGTTGCTACTGCTGCTACTGCTACTACTATTGCTGCTGCTATTGCTGCTGCTGTTGCTGCTACTATTTCTGCTGCTATTGCTGCTGCTACTGCTATTGTTGCTACTACTGCTGCTGCTGATATTGCTGCTACTGCTGCTGCTGCTACTATTCCTGCTACTATTGCTGCTGCTGTCGCTGAGCTTATATCTCCTCGCTGCTTAGCCATAAAATAAAAGACAAATGCGATCAAGCTGCATATGCTTTAATTGCTTCTAATGCGCGTATGCGAATTGCTGCGCTGTGTGTATGTGTGTGTGTGAGTTTGTGTGCACGGAGTGTATTAGTGAATAGGTTACAAATATTATAAATGTGTTAAGCAATAGTTACGACTGCTTCTATGATCATTCATATTCAATTCAATTCATTCCAATGACCGATGTCTGTGAGTACCAGATGAGTGTGTGATTCGTCGAAAAGTATGTAAAAGTGTTTACAAGCGGAGCGTGTGAGTGTATGAGTGTTAACTGTTACAAATGGAGAGGTGTTAGTGTGCTATCGCGTGAAGTATCGATCTCAATGTGTTGTAACGATTAGTTTGACATCGATTTAGACACGCGACAGATATATGTCCATATACATGACCATGATATATATATATAATATGTATACTCTGTGTCTGTGTTATATATACATATTTATATATATATGCGGAAAGTAATATGAATAAAATCGGTCGCATCGAAACGTGTTTGCCTTGCCGATTTCCATGGATCGCTAATTAATAAATGTTGAATGTATGTCGAGTAGAATCCGTGCTGACGTGTCTGCTCGTGTGTATGTGTGTGTGTGTGTAAGCAAATGTAAATCTAATTTAGTTTTGATTTTCCGCCAGCGGCGAGCTTGTTGATTGATTCACATTCGCCAGCTGCTACATCGTGATGGATGTTAGTCTCCTTGCGATGATCAACAGAGTTGTAGGTCTCATTAAGGCACTCATTCATGTTGCCATCGTTCGGTGGCGTGCCCATCAAATCGTTGGCCATGTAGACATTGGGATGGAGCATCGGATTGCAATCATCAAACGGAATACCCGTTAAGGGTCCATTGTAGTTCTCATTCATGCCCATGTTCATCTGCATGCTCATATTCATGGCATCCTGCATCTCCATGGGGTGGAAGGGCTCGTGTGGATTCTTATGGGGGCCATAGGGTAATATCATAGCCGGATTCATCATGCCCACGTCACGCCCCATTGGACAGTAGTTGCCCATCATGTCGGGCGGCATGGCATGCATGTTGGACATCGGATTGCCCATCGCCATTGGATTGTTCATGGGATTGGCCATGGGATTACCCATTGCATTGGTCATCTGATTTACCATCGGGTTGCCCATTCGGTTGCTCATAGTGTTACCCATTGCCATCTGATTTACCATCGGGTTGCCCATTGTGTTTCCTATTGGGTTGCCCATTGGGCCGCCCATTGGGTTGCCCCTTGTGTTGCCAATTGGATGACCCATTGGGGGACCCATTGGAGGAGCCATTGGAGGACCCATTGGAGGAGCCATTGGAGGACCCATTGGAGGACACATTGGAGGAACCATTGGAGGAACCATTGGAGGACACATTGGAGGACCCATTGAGGGACCCATTGGAGGACCCATTGGAGGACCCATTGGAGGACCCATTGGAGGACCCATTGGAGGACCCATTGGATGATTACCCATGGGATTACCCATGGAATTACTCATAGGGTTACCCATGGGATTACCCATGGGGTTACCCATGGGGTTACCCATGGGATTACCCATGGGATTACCCATGGGGTTACCCATGGGGTTACCCATGGGATTACCCATGGGGTTACCCATGGGATTACCCATGGGGTTACCCATGGGATTACCCATGGGGTTACCCATGGGGTTACCCACCGGATTACCCATGGGGTTACCCATGGGATTGCCCATGGGATTACCCATGGGGTTGCCCATGGGATTACCCATAGGGTTACCCATGGGATTACCCATAGGGTTACCCATGGGATTACCCATGGGATTACCCATGGGATTACCCATGGGACTACCCATAGGATTACCCATGGGATTACCCATGGGATTACCCATGGGATTACCCATAGGATTACCCATGGGATTACCCATGGGATTACCCATGGGGTTACTCATGGGGTTACTCATGGGATTACCATTTATCGGGTTGATCAAGGTATTGTTGAACATACTCAGGTTCATATTGATGTTCGGCAAAAACTGCGCATAGTTAGGAGTCGGGCTTGAGCTGTCGTTCATATCGAAGATTAGCGGGGGCATATCGCCTTGGGGTCCATTCATGAAAAAGTGCATCATGGGCATGCTGGGCATTACCGGCCCTGTCGGCTGCAGAAATATGTTTGCAGGCTTCAGTCGAGTGCGTGTCTGTGCTTCCGTGGACTCATTCTCGCCGATCTGCGAAGCCTGTGGGGTTGCACCACTCTGCGAACTCGCAACATTTGGTTCGTCACTTTCCGCTTCCGCGTTTGTCAATGTTTGATTGATTGCCTGCTCGTTGCTGTTGCTGTTGCTATTGTTCATGCTCTGGACTCCCACAACGCCATCGATGCTACCAGCATTATCGCCCTCACTTCCGCCCGCGACCTCATTGTCGTCAAAGTCGTCCACCTCGCTATCGTTGTTGCTAATGACCGATGAGCTGTGACTGGAGGATCGGGGACTCAGCGAGCTGGACTGACTGCTGGAGGAGCTACTATGCAGGCAGCGGCGCGAGTACTGCTCCGAGCGCAGCACAGGCGAGCTGGACTGACTGCCGGTGGTGGTAGAGGTCTGCTCCTGCTCTAACAACAGCCGCTGCTGCTCATGTTGCTGTTGCTGTTCCTGCTGCTGTATTGCCATCTCGCGGTTGTGGCTGTTGGGGCTAAGACGTAGCACTGATGTGTTTTGTGGGCTGCGATACGATGACGGTGTCTCGGTGTCGTCCGATTCCTGCTGCTTTTGGTGCCGCTGCTGGTGCCGCTGCTGGTGGCGCTGCTGGTGACGCTGCTGGTGGCGCTGCTGGTGACGCTGCTGGTGACGCTGTGCCGACGGCTGGTCCTTGACGCGAGTGGAACTCCTGTCTGTGCTGGCATTGTCCTCGCTCTGCTGGCTGTTCGGATGCGTGGACGAATTGTGCATGTGATTCATGTGGCGCGAGCGGCTGTTGCCGCCGTTATTGAAGCGACAGGGCACACCGCCGTAGGTATTGATGCGGTAGCCGTAGCGCGAGCCATGCGGACGCGGCACCTGTTGGGCGTGGGGGTAGGGATTCGCATGCATAGGCACTGAAAGCACAGACAAGTCAAGGTCATCAGTGGAAGAAGCAATTCGACCCAACCGACTCGCTTACCCATGGGTCTGCCCCAGAAACTCATCGGCGCCGTGCCACAAGGCGCCATCATGCGCGGTCCGTTCGGCGCTACAAAGTGTGGGGCGGGATTGCCTTGCGTCCTCGGCTGTGGTGGTGGCGCAGGCAGCGGCGGCGGCGGAAACATGCTTATGTGCATGCACCAGCAACGGTACTCTGTCTGAGTGCCCACATCGACCAGCAAGGGACGAGGCTGTGTTCAAGTAAAATAATGGCAAGTACATACAACGAATTGCTAATGGAAGTCCCGGCTTATACTCACATTGACGCGTGCCAGATCCTGAGGCGTCAAGCTATGTGGATGGCTGGGTGGCAAGAGTCCTCCGTTGCCCATCCAGGGACGGGCGACGGTCTGATAATCATAGAAATTTATTGACGGCTCGCAAGGAATGGCCAGATCTACTTACCGATGGAAGGAACAGACTTGGATGCAGCGGCGTGACCTCCAGTATGGCCGTGGTATAGGCTGCCATCTGGACCTGGGTCATGTTGGCGAAGCGGCCGCGCAGCAAGGGCAGCATCAGATTATGGGCGCGTATCATAAGGTTTCGCAAAGTAGCAATATATTCCGAGCTGGATAGACTGCATTCGCTCACCTGGCGGGCGAAGTCCTCGAAGGATGGAAAGTCATCTTGGGAATTGTCGTTGGTATTGTTATCGTTGTTCCCGATAGTCGGAGCTATCGATCCAGTACACGCTGCCTTCGGCCCAGCACTTGGCGGAGCCATATCCTCTTTTTCCTCTGATACAGTCTGGGACACGGTCAGTGCACCATAGGAGTAGGGCATCCATTCAACGGGCGAATCAATGCTGCGTGGCTGTACCGGCTGCACCGGCTGTGCCTGTGACTGCAAATGTTCCTGCGGGGTGAAAGCAGCGGCTTGCCACCAGTCGCGTGGTGTTGTCGATTTTTTTGGCGGCAACTTTTTCTCCTCCTGACACTCCTGCTCCTCCTGCAACTCCTTCTGAAATTCCTGTGGCTGCTGTTCTTGCTCTAGCTCCTGCTGCTTCTGATATTCCTGTTGCAGACATGGTTGTTGCTGCTGCTTCTGTGGCTCCTGCTGAAAATCTTGCTGCAGTTCCTGCTGCTGCTCGGACTCCGCATAAACCTGCTGTTCCTTCTCGAGGCAATTATCATGATAGGTTGGTACATCTTGTGCTCTCTTAGGCTGCCCGGGCTCTACCCACCAGCCATTAGGTGGATCTGTAATCTGTGGCTGCATGGCAGCTTGCGCTTGAGACTCAAGGCTAGCAGCCCCCTGATTTACATCATTCCAATATTCTCTGTCTGTTGGCACTGAATGCACGTGCTCCGTTCCCTGATGCTCAGCCATGGCGTTCTGTTCGTTCTCCAAACGCCTGTCGATGAGCTCATGCTGCTGCTGTTCCTGCTGCTGCATAGCATGCCCAGAGGGCCACCATTCACATACCGCAGGTGCCTGTCGCTGATGCTCTATTCCTTGCTCATCCACATTTTCCACCTGCACGAGTGGCTCAAGCACCCCCGGAACTCCTTCGGGCAACCAATCGCTTGGACACGGCAACAGAGGCTCACCTCCAGCATGCTGTCCGTCCGCGGGCCACCAGACCGGTGCCGGCTCTTGGTCCAACTGGGGAACTTGTTGGTCCGCCTCCTCCAAGTAGCATTGGCCAGCGACATGCGGCTCCTTCACATCCTGCCAGACATTGGCTGCTGATGCGCCCTGCTCCTGCGGCTGTGGCGAATGCAGTCCATATGAGGCGATCAACTGCTCAATGTCAAGCCAGTAATCATACGAAGTCGGCAACGGCGATGTCTGGGAAAGCGGTGCATTCACATTGCTATTCGTCTCCACATCGCACCAGATCTCGCGAGACAATGCCTGTATGTCCTCTGGACGTAGTTGTCGACGCCGTTGATGATGCTGCTGCTCCTGCTGCTGGTGTGGAGCGACAGTTGCGACAATCTGATCGTTATCTATCCAATATTCGGGTGGAGGCGGCTCCGACACCACATGCCCCTCGATCTCATTGTCCTCTTGATCAACATTGAGCAACATCCCATGGTTCTGCATTTGTTGAGCGTTTTCCTGTTCTTCCATTTCGCGCCAGTATTGCAGATGCTCAGGTGTTATATGACCTTGGATTTCAAGCGGTACTTCAGACATGGGGTACTCTGGATGTTGACTGTACAGTTGCCCCTCAGCTGCTACATTGTCCTGTTCAATTTCACGCCAATATTCACGGTTCTCCGCTTGTGCTTGATCTTCCAGGTGGCATTGGTTCAGCATCGGTGGCATTTGCTGCTCCATATTAGGTCCGAGCATTTGCTCGTGCTCTCCATCGATCTGCTCTTCCATTTCACCCCAGTACTCAAGATTGTGAGGCGACTGCTGTAATTGGAATAGCATCTGGGGATGCGGTTGAAATGGCATTTGGCTTTGAATATGAGGGGGCATCTGACCCCGCATATGAGGAGGCATCTGACTCTGCATATGAGGAGGCATCTGACCCTGCATATGAGCCGGCATCGGACCCAGCATATGAGGAGGCATCTGACCCCGCATATGTGGGGGCATCGCACCCTGCATATGGGGAGGCATCGGACCCTGCATATGAGGAGGCATCGGTCCCAGCATGTGAGGAGGCATTGGACCCTGCATATGGGGAGGCATTGGACCCTGCATATGTGGAGGCATCGGACCCTGCATGTAGGGTGGCATTTGATCCTGCATGTGGGGTGGCATTTGGTCCTGCATGTGGGGAGGCAATTGGCCCTGCATGTGGGGCGGCATTAACATATGCATTTGAGGATGGATTAGCCGCTGCCCATTCTGCTGATCAACGTCCGGCCAACACTCCCGATTTGACGGCTCGGGACAGTTGCCGAGCGCCCGCTGATTGGGGGGTGGAAAAGGGCGAGGACTCGGTGCCACCCGAATAGTTAGGTCCACGGTACAGCCATTCATGTCGGGATCGCCGTAATCACCTGGATACATGTGTGCCTGCATTTCGTCAGGATCCTCGTAGTCGTAGACCTCCTGCACTTGGCCCCCCTCGTAGTACTCTTCAAGATGCGGGTCCATTGGACGTGGCGGTGGCGGTGGTAGCGTCTGCGGGTTTATTTGAGCTGCTTGCTCTAGAGCCAACAGATGCGACGCGTACGAGCCCATGGGGTGAAAAACCGGCGCATACGGTGACATTTGGCCATTCAAGCTGTTCATCAGCAGCGGTAGATCCCGTGTCGCCTCCGATGATGGACCCGTACCAGCCGGAGCTTGCTCAGTATTTTGCGGAACCTCGCCTACTGCTCAATGGAGAAGCTGGTTATAGCTCGGTAATGCTTAGATGATTATAAATAAGCCACTTACCAAAGGCGGGTATGATCTCATTTGAGATAAGACTTGCCCAATTCGGGGACGATGAGCCAACAGAAGGATCAGTCATGATGTTAAAATGCTTATAAATGAAATGTTATAATTATCATTTGTTTGGCATTAGACTTCAGTCCTAAGTTTTGTTAATTTCAGCCTCTGGTAGTCAAAACTTCCATTAGTCTAAGCCTCCGTTGGTGTAAAACTCCATTAGTCTGAACCTCCGTTAGTCGAGACCTTCGTTAGTCTAAACCGTCGTCAGTCTAAACCTTTATTAGTCTAAGCCTCCGTTGGTCTAAGCCTCTGATAGTCTAAACTTCTATTAGATTAAACCTCCGTTGGTGTAAACCCCCGTTAGTCTAAACCTCCATTAGTCTCAACGTCCGTTAGTCAAAACCTCTTTTCTGTCTAAGCTTTTCAGTTTAAATTTAATTCAGTCCTATCTCCTGATAGATATTTTTGCAAAATCATGAGGCTGATTTGTGAGTGTTGATGGGAAATACTTACATCGTTGGCTAAGATTGTTCTGCAAAATCCTTCGAATCAAGTAGAATATCTCAAAATCAAAGCTGTGGAAATATAGTAAATATTTGAATTTATGCTTGTTTGGTGTTTTATCAAGGCTAAGCAATAGTTTTGTAAACATATTCTAAGGGATTGCTACTGCTTGGATTGGTCTGCTTATAAATATCTTAGCTTTGTGTTATGTGAGACGTGTCTGTTCCAGTTTAAAACGCTTTCAACTGCACCCCGAACGTGCCTGGCATATTGAAGGGCGAACAGCCTAAGCCTGCTGTTCCACAGCAAGACGCACAGCAAATCATCTCTCATCCGCAGGAGCGGCAACATTTTTGCAATTATTTCAAATATTTTTCAACACGGCTTTGAAATGCGACGTGCCGACGAATGCTGCACAACAGCAACAGCGAGCAGGCTAAGGGAAAACCCTTTTTGTTTTTCACGTTTTTCCTTTGTCTTGCGCCAAAATATTTTTCCACATTTTATGCTGCGCATATTTTTTTCCCGCAGACTTGGCGCGAAATTAGCGGCAAGTGGCTGAGGCAGTGGAAAAAGGCAGCGGAGATAAACTTTAAATAAAACATGGTACACACAACACGGCCACCGAGAGGGAGGCAGGGAAGGGGCCGAGGCAGAGGCCGAGGTGTTGCTCGCGCATCGGGGAGGGAGGGTGGAAGATGCCGGGGTACCGGGGCAAACGTCGAACACTGGCGCACAGACCGCAATTCAAATAAAATCCTTTAGGGCTTTTGACTTTTAACTCATCCGTTTAACGAGCGCTCATGTTCGTGAGATGGCGAATGGCAGGCTAGCTGGTTAGAGGATGGCAGGATAAAAAGATTGCCCGGGCAAGGACAATACCCTTGACACCTACACACACACACACACACACACACACACACACACACACACACACACACACACATTTATAAATATGTATAGCAGGGTAACCCAACACGCGTTGTCAGTGCAATTGCAAAACAATGCGCGAAAAAGGCAAGGAAATCAACATAGAAGGCATATGCGAATAGCTATGCTCTATAGAGTCGTATTTGTAGCTGATAGAAATGATATACAAAACATGCATTATGATTACTATAATATGTGTAGATCGATGCAAGACTATACAGATAATGATCCGATCAGATTGCCTTTTTGGAATGGAAACTCCTCTATCTCCTTGAATCTCTCTATTCATTGTGTATTAGCGTAGTCGACTTTACGGACAGGCACGCCCAAACGCCCACACACGCAGCACACACAAAACGTTTTAAAATTTTTATGAGCCTTTTTGCTCTGGAATATCTCTATAGCACAGAGCTCTGATTGCTTTTGCAAGCAGCCCTTGCCCCCAAATCCGTATCTCTCTCTCTCTCTATCTCACTCACTCACTCGCTCGCTCGCTCACTGAACGAAGCGGCCCGTGAGTAGAATCGATTGATAGCTGCGTCGCTAGCAATTGCCAATTGCCAATTGCCAATTGTCAGTTGGCAGTTGGCAGCTTTGGCAATCGGCAATTCAGAATTTGAACAATTGCCCACTCGACGTGCGCAGAGCAAACGTCACCGAGTCTCGGGCTGAAGAAGGCGTCGATTGAGGCGTTTGCCTAAAATATGCATGCAATGAGCCAATGCATACACAATGCCCAATTTCAGCTGGCTGTGGGCCGATTGTGACATTTATTAACCAGCGAAATACACTTGTCGCGTATACGCCCCGTGGACACGCCCCCTCCACCCCCCCCCACCGCTCAATGCCCTAAAAAAGCATGCTTCGTTTAATAAATTGAGCGTTTTGTGCAATTTATGCGCCTGATTTGACATTAATGTGGCCTGAACAGACTCCACGCCCACCACACACGCATATAAATCAGTGTGTATGCGTGTGTGTGTGTGTGTGTGTGTGTGTGTGTGCGTGGGAGTGAGCTGTAATGCGAGTGTGTTTATTTACATGTGTTGCCTTCCTTGCCTAGTTCTTAACGGAAGAGCGCGTCTTCCGCTTGCTGTTTTTTATTTATGACAACATCTGTCGCAACAACTGCTGTATGTATGTGTGTGTGTGTGTGTGGAGGCGCTAACATCTATACTACACACACATCATTTATCATTTTAACGGCTCAACTCCTTTTCGTGTCTGCCACCTTTCGCTTCATTTGCTGCAAGTTTTCGCTCTTTACGCCCACAACTTTGGCCATTAAAAAGAAGAAGTTAACGTAAACGAGCTAAGACGACTTTCCCTACAGCCTTATATAGTTAAGCTAGCTTATTGATATAATATAGTATCGCGTTGTATATTTCTCTATAAGATTATGCGCACTCACCTGGCAAGTTTTTCTGCTATGCGCCAGGGGCCTTTGCCTTCAGTTCTTGCAATTTATTTATGTTTTATTTTTGAATATTTTGTTTTTATATATATATTTTTTATATTAAATTATAATTTTAGTATATTATATTTATATATATTTTATTGTTTATTTAATATTTTATTATTATACTATTTTGTATTATTTTATTATATTATTTATTATTATTATATATTTATTATTATATTTTATTATGCTGTGTATATGTACTATAATTATTATTATGGTTATTATATTATTTGGTTTTTATTATATTATAGCTATTATTATTATTTTTTTGTTCTTTTGTATTATAAATTTGTTTATTATTATTGTATTATTATGTATTTGTATATTAATGTATTATTTATGTGTATTTTTGTTGTTGTGTATTCCTGTTTTGTTAGTGTTTCCTTGTAAAATTTTATGATTTAAAATTTTGTATCTATGCTATAAATCCAAACTAAAATATTGAAATGACCGTGCGGAAATGAGAATGTCATGAGTAAAACGATGATAATGATAATGCTTAATAATTACCTAAAAACTATGATAAATAAAGAACGCTTGATGAATGTTCGTTGAATATTTGGTAAACTCGCTGAAATTTGTCAATCTGTGGAAATAGATAAAAAAAAATAGATTTAAGTTTTAAGTTTTATATGGCATGCATACTCGTATGTATATATACAAATTATTCATTTACAAATATCAAACGAAATGTTTTTCACGTAGTTTCAACTTCAAGTTGGGCTGTCCCATTAGACTAAACAACGTCGAGCAATTCCCAGATGCCAATCAATGTCAAAGAGCTGAAAACTCTAGACGGCAATAATTCACGTGTGCGAGCTAATAAATTACGACAAAATCTCAGCTTTTTGGGTAGGGGCATCAAAGGATAACAAGGATAACTTTTGCGCTCCACTAAATGTCGCACTCACACACACACACACAGACACACGCACACCTAACCATTTAGCTGTGAGCACAAATAATCAGCTGTAAATATTTTATAGATGAAACGAGCGACAATAACTTCATGGAGAGGGGAAAACGTATTTCAGGCATTTCTTTGTTGCTATGGCGCCACTGATGTGGCATGCCACAGAAACTTGCCAAAATCTTGGCCCGAGCTTAAGTATATAACATGTACATGTACATGTGTGTGTGTGTGTTTGGCATAAGCTTTGCTGGTCATTTACGGGGTCACGGCCAGCGCAGAGCCCATAATGACTCACAATGACGATGATGCGGTTGCTGATGACAATGGGGCCAAGCATGCGGCTTACGATAAGAAGCCGAGCAAATAGAAATGAATGTCAATTGATAATCAAAATAAATGCCTGACGGGGCTCGCAATGAAATTGAAACAAAGCTTGACAGATGTATATCTGGGGCATGGCCAGCCGCCGAGGGGCATAAGTATGAGGGAGTGAAGCGAGAGTCTACAGAGTCTATATATGAAAGGTAAGTCTGCCATCATATTGTTTTAGATTATAGAAATTACTATATATCCTACATATACATATACACATATTTATATAATTGGCTGAAGGGCAGATCCTGATGAACATTAATGAGCAAAGGCAGCTGAGGACATGGCATAGTTAATGTAAATGCTGATAGGCGTTATGGCAAATGCCTATATGAGAAAATCAAATATGAATTACATTGAATATATATGCATATTGAGAGTAAATAACCCCACTAGCCAGTGCTTAATCTTAAGTTAGTTTTAATTATACACTGAATCCATTGAAAACGAGAAAAATATCTAATAAATAAATAACTACATGTATATCATATTAAAAACATTTCAAGTTCTATTCCTCTTTCATCTCATCTCCACACACACTTTTAAGCTCATTTCGACTACTACTACATACACACATTTAGCTCATGGAGAGCAGCCTCAGCGAGACTCAATGGAGGCTGCCACTTGAGGGAGACACCGCAAAGCTGCTGAGCTATCTGGGCGTGGCGCTTGCAAGGGTTTGGGAACTGGGCAGCTCTGGGCAGCTCTGGTCAGGGGCCAAGGTCCGGGGCCATAAATTTATGTTGGTGTCGCCTGCACATGCAAATGTCTAAATGCCTAAATGCCTAAATGCCTAATGAGTGAAGCGGGCAGCACAAACAACGCAGGGACACGAATGAGTCCTTAAAGATTAATTAATCTTTGTGGCACATGCGGCCGACGCTGACGCTGATGCTGATGCTGATGCTGATGCTGACGTCGACGTCGATGTCGACGTCGCTGGTGCCACAAACAACAGTTGGCTGGGGCACGCGTGTATTGTTGGCCGGGCTTGGCCGGGCAGGCTGACCATTGTCCTGCGTCGGTTTCGGTTTCGGTTTTTAAGCTAATGACACAAAACGCCAAAAAGGATGCGAGTCCTGAGGGTTAATTTGCAGGCAGGGTCGCTGGCTGGCTGGCTGGCTGGCTGGCTGGCTCGCTCGGTCGCCTGGTCCGGCTTATCTTTTGCTTTTGAAGAAATAATTAATGACCTCGTTTTTGCCACTGTGGCCAGAGCAGGAGCCAAAGCCAAAGCCGAAGCAGGAGCAGGAGCAGGAGCAGGAGCCAGAACCGGAGCTGGGGCGAGCAGCAACAAGGAGCTGCACATTCCGTGCTGGCCATTAAAAATCGTTTATTTCGATTTGATTTAATCCAAAATAGATTGCCCTGTCGGGCCATGCGACGCAGACGGAGATGCGGCCAATTTATGCACTCAATTTACGCGCGGCGCACAGGACACACAGGACACAGGGCAGGATGCAGGACGTTGTTGTGGATGCTGCTGCAGTTGGACAGTGGAGCAGCTCTGTTGCGTATTTATAAATTTCATTGGTTAATCCTTATTTTCGCATTAAGGGAGCTCACACACACACACACACACACACACACACACACACACACACATACAGATGCAGTGGACACACGGCCACAGCTATGCAAATGTATGCATTGTCCTGTTGCGCCAGCACTCGCTGTCCGCTGTTCGCTGCCCGCTGCCCGCCCCGTCTGTGCCCCGCCCACATCAGACTACGCTGGCAATTAAACTAATCGCACGCGAGGCTTAAAATGCGATTTGCGGCGTCGATTGGCAATTGCGGCTCGCATTCGCCATTGAAACATTTCAAATGTTTGCCCGAATGCCAACAGGAGGAGGAGGAGGAGAAAGAGAGACAGAGGAGAGCGGCAGTGACAGAGGAGAGCTGCTAAGTGTGCCCAGTGCGAGGCAGAAGCGGTGCACGCGGTTTGCCCTTTTGCGATTTGCCGCGAAATTTATTTAACCAACACGTCGAAATTTTCCATTTCACATTTGCTCGCAGCTCGGCAAACGCCGCAAATGACATTTAAACTGTTTGCATTTGGCGCCGCTGACTGTTTAGTGGTTTTTGCGGCTATCCGAAGCCACCTGCCCCAACCGCATCGCCCTCAACACGCGCCAGCGTTCGCTGTTTGCCTAATCCAAATGTTTAGTTGCGCTTGGGCCTAAAATGTTCGTGCGACGGACAGCAGGATTCATTTGGCCACGTTCCACACTCGGCTCGCACAAATACTCCGCCAAATTTATTGCTAATCTCTGATCCGGGCCATTCGAAATTGCGAAACTGATCAACGATCAAGGAAATCTCTTGGCAGGAGCGAGATATCTATATCTTAGCATAAGCTGAAGACAGATCAGAGCTCTACTAGCTGGGGACTGGGTCTGTATGGGAGTCCCAGTGTATAAAAAGCTAGCTCAGGCCGTAAAATAGAATTCCTTAAGCTCTCTCAACTAGCCCAAGTCCAGCTTAGTTTTTCCTTTGACTAACTTCTTTGCTCAGTCTTTGGATTAATTTCCATGAAAATGGAATAGGAGAAGAAAATGCTAATTTCTGCTACTTTGTGCGCATTGTTCAATTGCAACCGGAAAGGTAAGAAGTTCGCCTCGCCTGTTAGCTGGCCACACAGTAGTGAAAGGCTGCTCCTGCTGCTGCTGCTTTGAGGCATTGTCACGGCGCACCGCAAGAAACCAATTTTCATGTGATTAATGATGTCAACGCGAGGCGATGCCGGCCACGTAAGTGCCTGCTGGCCTGACTCAATTCCCTGGCCGCTCTTTAGCAGGAGTCGGAGGGGACACGAGCGTACCACAGACCGAATGAATCCGTCCGTCAAGAATGCGTCAATTTAATTGCGCACGTGACGCGCGCGGTTCATGAATGATAAAGAGAGCAGAGCAGGGCAGGAGAGGCGAGTAGAGGCGAGGCATGGCATGAGGAGGATGAGAGGAGGCGAAGTCGAAACATGTTGTTCAACTGGACGGAACGCGACGAGAGGAGGGGGCATTTTGTTGCGGCTATGCGCGCCACGTGACGCTGACATTCGCATTGATAGCACGAGCTTGGGCTGCGGCCAGTGGATTAGCCTGAGCTTCAAGATGCCCTCGAACCGAACTGAACTAAGCGCAGCAGTCGACCAAAATGCGCCCCACATGCTGCGCTCAGCATTTGATTTTTCGCAAATTTCATTAAGCAAGATAAATGGTTGGCTATTAACAACAGCAACAGCAACAGCAACAGCAACAGCAACAAAAGGATGCCTAATAGCAGCGCAGCAGCCTTAGTGCTGCCCGCTTTGTATTTATGCAAAAATTCGTTATGGCTGCCAAAGAGCGGCAGCAAAAATCGCACGCACTTTTGTTTACGCACATACCCTAGCGTTGAAGCCGAGCATTGCGGCTACGAGTTGAGCTTTGCCGAGACATTTGCATATCTGGCACGCGAGTTGAACAGGGGCTGAAGCCAGCCTGCCATGAAAAGTCCATAGCGGGGACACTGGATGAAACATCAGTTTCATTTTCTTATGCGGGTGAGCTGCAAGCCATCGACTGGCAAAACTAGGGCAGCATCAAGGTTGTAGAATACCAATTGGCTAATATGAAAGACAAAAACTCATTCAGCAGCAGCTACAGCTGATGAACTGTAAGAACTATAGCCGCTCTCTAAAGCTCTCTGTGAATTTTACTTTTTGACTGAAAGAATCTACAAGAGGTGTGGCAACTGCCGAATCAGGCTGAAATAATTGCCTAAGCGCAGTGCGCGACGCAGAG